TCTAGAAATAATTAATTTGTATTCCAGTAGAGTAACATTCTTGTTCTAAATTGCTTCGATTCAGAATAGATTCCAAAATCTTAATTCTTGGATCACCATCAATGGAGAATCATAAGAATAATTGAGTCAAATTACAACACATGGTCAAAAAAGAAGCGATGTCTAAAAATAAGCTATGTAATAATTTTAGCACCGACAATGCTTAGATACTCTAATGTTTCCCATCTGAATTGAACAAATCGATATCAAAGAGATTGCTCTCGTCCACTGCGACACAAAGTCAATTTATTCCACTCCACAACGCTCAATTTCGATAACAGAAACAATCGTAAGAATAATAGTAACTGCTTTATTTAAATAATATCATTAATCATGGTGATAGCAATTAATCATAATGATAATGGTAATAATAGTAGTAGTATGTATTGCCAAAAGTTTCGGTTAGGCGATCGCTCGCCACCGTAACAGCACAGTCGAACGATCGCTGTTGGGCGATTGTTGGTTGATCGGTTGCTCGATAACGTCAACGTAATCTTATACGTTTCGTTAGACAGCATTCAGCTGGGACAGGCATGGACCAGGTGCCGTGACACTTAGACGGATTTGCCATCTGTGTGCAACTGAAATAGAAAAAAATTCCGCGACCCAGAAAAATGGTAAAAATAGTCTGGAAACGATGCTGATTTCTTCGAACGAGGATATCGAACGCTCTGAAAAGGTGAAGGAGCATCCAGCAACCTGATCCATCGCTGTTGTTCATTTCTCTGGCCTTTTAACCCTTTAACTGACTAACTTGCTGTTAGAGAGCGGTATAATAATATTAACAACGGTCATAATAAAATTATGAAACAAAAAATGAATCGTATTTTGACATGAATTCGACTTCATATGTTATTTTTTAATATTGCTATGTATGTATCTATAAAACAAATAAATAACACATGATTATTTGATGTACCTTCTACATGATATGTTATCTTTTTATTTTACATGTATGTATAAAGTAAAAAATAAAAAAAAAAATAAAATGAATACTTATTTAATCTATCTTTCGATAATATTTGTTAGGTTTTCATTTCATTGTGAGAGCTGGTACTGACTTCACGTCAGCTAGAATTTTGTTGTTATTTTGGCGTAAGCAGCATTCAGTTAAAGAGTTAACGCGCCCCTTCGCTCGTAACCGTCCTTGCAACCCTAACTTGTGCACGCATTTCGTTCCGAATTTATTCGATGGCACGTCGGTTTCACGTTTGCAAAGATAGGGTGAATTTTTAGACGATGACCCGTTTCAAGCAAAAATAGACACGGATAATGTTACGTCCGACGGATTCTTTAATGAAATTATAATACTTGCGTCACGTAAATGGAGGTATAATTCGATACGAATGAAAAATGTAGTGACTATAGCTATGGTGTGTTAATGATGTGGAGAGACCTTCGTCTTCTTTGGTCGCAGACATTTTGTTCTCGTAGAAGAATAAATTTTAATAGTCAAGTTCAAATCGCCATTGGGGCAAGGTTCAGCGATCTTGGCTGTTTTTCAACCTAATTAAAATAGAATGCGACAGATTAGGAAACCTTAACATGCATGCTGTCAGTTCCTAATTTGATAGTTAAAGAAAATTGTCTGATCTACAGAGTGGAGCTAAAATATTGAAAGAAACAGGAGGTATAAGTTGTGTTTTATTTAAGTAACCCACCTTCATCATTAATGGTTATAATGCTCTCATTTATAAATCAAATAATTTTGTTCATTTCTGAAGACATGATTGTTAAGACCCTCCAGAATGTTGCATTTTATTCCCTCCCACGAATTTTAAATGCATTAACAGCAGTCATTTGAACATGACTCTTAAAATTTTTTTTCAATCCTTTCCAAATTTCATTTTCTATTAAACGATTAATATTTTCAACGTCATGGTGAATACGAGAGCGTCAATAGTCTTCATCAAACCAGAGTCGAGCAAAACTGTGTTCGAATAGTAAATAACGAATAAAACCATAAAAATATCATCTGTATTCTACATTGATTCTTGAAATTTACTCAAGAATGACTCTGTTATAGAATATAGAACTCGAGAAATGAAAATTTTCTTTTCGTACAAGGTTCATCTTTTATCTGCAATTCGAAACTTTTATTTAAATAGAAATTCTGCTGCAATCTCTGGCGCAGACGTGGAGAGAGATCGAAGACTAAGGAAACTCTCGAATAATCGCAACAGCGTTCCATCGGATCGTCGTCCTGGCCAATTCCTTGGCACGTTTGCACCGAGATTACGAAATCACGCGAAGAAGGTTGTCCATTCAGCGAATGCATCGTCTCCGTGAAACTGAAATCAGATTCACGCCGTCGGAGACGATCGTTGGCGTATTACTTTGATATATCCCTCTTCCCCTCGAGCGGGGACGGTTTTATTTCACTTCGAGTCTCTTGCAAACAATTCCCGTAAACGCGTGTACGCGACGAGTCGACGCAAACGAAAAATTATTCAAATCTTACGCAGTTTAAGTTAAGTAGACACTTAGACGCAAGGCTAAATCTACGATCACGAGAGGTTTAAGATCGATGTTGCACCTCGACTATCGTTCAAAGTGGTTAAACAGGCATCGTTCGTGCTTTCTATCGTAGAGAGACGGAAGATTTCTGGATTGAAAAAGTCTCTACGCAATATGGTTCTTGATGAATCATCGATGAGGATCTCGAATTGGGGAAGAAATTGAGTGAAAGATGGTCGACTTCGACTCAGATCAGGGAAAAATGAGTTTATGAATAATTTAATCATTCGACTGTGACCCGTTGTGGTACTTTCGATTAGAAGAAAAGAATTCAAAAGTATTAATGAAAACATGTAACATTAATAAATGGGATGCAAACATATACAAGTTCAAATAGCATACACAAACTTGATACCTTTAAGTAAAAAATGATAAAGTACTAATAAAGTTACAAAACATTAATAAGAGGAATACAAATATATACACTTTTAAATAGAATACACGAAACCACTCCCCATTCTTTAAATAGAAATTCTACGACAATGATGAAACAGTGAAACATTAATAAGAGAAATAAAAAACATACAAAACTGTAAATAGTACACACAGAAGTAGAAACAAAGAACTTACGTGGTGTATAATATACAGGGTGTCCCAGCCTAAGTGATACGGAGCTCTAACTCCAAAACTATCGGTCGAATGCAAAATTTCAAATATGGAAATTGCATGGTAAAATGGGGCTCATGTTTCAGCGCGAAGGAATTTTTGTTAACTTTGTTATTTAACGTGATATGATGGTCAAGTTTCGTTTTTCAAATGGAACTATGTATTTTTTTGTATACCATGCAATAGTACTTTTCAAGAGCCCCATTTTACCATGCAATTTCTATATTTGAAATGTTGCATTCGGCCGATAGTTTTGGAGTTAGAGCTCTGTATAATTTAGGCTGGGACACTTTGTATGTCTCTCAAATACCCACCCCTCGCTGCCAGCCCATTCATATTTCTTTTGCCCGTAGTTTCGCCCGAGTAGCCCCGAACACCGGTGTAATATGATCCGAACCGATTGATACGCTTCTGTCCAGTGTTTTTTTTCGGACCTCTTTCTCTTTCCACTATCTATCCTTTTCTACGTTCGACGCTCGACTCGTGTCAAGTGTAAACACATAAAAACCTCGAGTGCAATGTTTTGTGTCTCCGATTTTGCATGCCTCCTTCAGTCGCTACTGTATCTTCTAATGCTTTGCCAACAAACTTCAAGTGTAGAGAGGGACAGCGAATGAAGAAGAGGACGGAGCGACATGCGAAAATGGCGCCAACACCAGGATTATTTCGGTGAGACATGTAGTTACAATTAGTAAATACAGTGGGTGTAGAATGTATTCGTACACCGATCAAATTTCCCAAAAAACTTTTGTGTGAAATTGTAGTTTCTTAACCTCTTTTTTTATAATCAATGACATTCTACATATTCTCGGAAGTCTCTAAGATAGGTATAGTCCAAACAACGTTTACTAGTTAATATAATTTGTGAAATTAACAAAAAAAATGCGAAAAGTGGGTTAAAGTACAGAAGCAATAAGTATTTGTACGATTCTTATGACGAACCATTTACAGTAGAGTTTGTAACGTAAACACATTAGTTTATTGCTCCGTGCGAATTAGAAAACATCAAATTTCCAGGAAATTTTTTTCCAGTTTTTTTGGAAATTGATCGGTATACGAATACTTTCTACACCCACTGTATGATGCGAATTACGTCGTGTTTGGTCTCATTTTAATCAGAAAAATGTCAGGAATATGATGGTAACAGTTTTACAACAAAAATAGTAATAATAAAAAAAGTTTGATCGTTGCATTAGCATTGTCTCATCGAGATATCCGATCCCGGATCATATTACTCTCCATTTATCGTAGAGAAACTTGTGCATGTAAGGAGACTGTTGTATTATATATTGGCAAAGACTAACGATAAGATTAAGAAATGAAATTAATTCGTTATGTAACACGATAGATGTAAAATCAAAAATAATTCAGCATAAGCCAACAAACATTTTATTTACAATTAATGAATTGAAACCATGCACTATCGATAATACTACTTCAGACCAAGGCTTTCAAAGACTATACCCCCGAACATCATTGAACTCCTCCCGTCGCTAACCGTGAATATAAATAACAATAAAAATGAAAAGAGCAAACGAATGGTCTCGTTTCGATGAAAAGTCGATGATTCGTAATCAAGTGTATTGCGTAGCGATTTTCCCAACATCCTGCGCTTAAAAAATATAATTAACAAAACGATAAATATCAGAAGAACGATCTTTCGATCGTTCTCGCGCGATCACAGATCCTGCAGATTAATCCTGCATCGTTCCTCAGTTTCGTGTTCGGAAGTAATCCCGTTTAATACATAAGCGACTGTCGATCCCTTGGAGGGGGTGACCATATTTAAGAGATATTCAATGACTCTATTCTCGTTCGGATCCTCAAGGCTCCCGACGCTGAATGCTCAACGCTCTTTGCACGCTCCTCATGATCGACGCGTGGTTCGTACTGGCGCGTTTGAAACTCGTTCTCACTTGCCTGTACATCGAAAGGGATGCTCTTTGCTCCACAAGATCCTTCGCGTTGCTGCTCGTTCGTCTCTGAATCCGAGCACAAAAAGAAATCAGTTCCATCATTTTTGTTTACCCCGCGAAAGTCCACCTCCCTCGACCAAGCAATGATTATCTCGCCAATTCAAAATAAAAGTTTAACAAAGAATGTTAAAAAAAAAAACTCCATATGAGCTTTACGTCTTGCCTCTAAATAGAACTAATTCTACAAGCATCGTTCCCCGATTGAAATTAGCACTATCTAGAATGGAACTGCTCGCGAAGTTGAAATGATCTTTCATCAAAAGTATTGCTTTTCTTTTTCGATTTAATTACGAGAGGTTGATCGTTATACTTCAAGTTTCGACTAGTCCCCGATGACTGGCAGAAATCGAAGCAGGGAAACGTCGAAAAGGTGGCACACAAACGGAACAGAAATGATGAGAAGACACAGAAAGTTTGATTAACAAGAGGTTAATTAACGGTGGTGGGTTAATACCTTTAAGTTGATTAAGTCACACGAAACACAGAACGAGACATCGTATGCCGGTTTAACAGCTTGTGAACGAATATCGACAGACATCAAACTTGCGACACAGAGAAGCGTAGAAAGCGACGGATCTTCGACTCGTGGCGCTCGGAGAAAATCATTAGCGATCTGTATTACTCTTCGACTCAAACGCCGTTCTCATAGGTCTCGAAGACGTAACGATTTTATTCTATTGCTAGATTCACGTCGAGATGCAAGGATGGTCCTATGACAGCGTTGCATTACCCCTCAAGATTGTGCAAATCGCCAAGCGACTTGGAAGTTTGATCAAATAGAAACAGGAATCCCTTCTTTTATTGTCATTGAGGTTTAAAGTTTAAAATCTCATACCTTTTACAAATATTGTTTAAATAATCGTGAATATATACATTATTTTTCAACGAAGTATTAATATTTTAATCAAAAGAAAATACAGAGTTCGGTATCCTTGATATTTATAAACACAAATTTAATTGGATAAATAAAATCGTTACGTCTGTGGACTCTATCCTCGTGACGAGCTATTGGCACGATAGTCCCGTCTTAATCCTCCCTGTACTCCTGCACGGAGAACATCCTACTTGCGCAAGCATTGAAATCACCCGCAGAACTCGAACGTATTTGCGATATGTTCGTTAAAAAAATATCACACTTTCACGATCGCTGATAAAGGCTGCTCCACACAACGGCTACTATAACAATAATGATAATACATGGTACTCCGAGAAGAGTATCGCGTTAACAAAGCTACGAGTTCGTCGAGCAGAGATGCGCAAAATTTTATTCAAATAATAGACGACGAATAGAAACACTGTACAGCGACTCATTCGCAAACGTTTATTCAACCCGAATGGTTACTCGGATAAACTTTCATTCGTTCAACGTGCGATTTAATTTTGACTCGTAATTCAAAATGGAATTATTATTGAACAAATAAAAAATCACTTTATTTTTCGTTCGTTATTCGAAAGGTTTATCTAGACGAGTATTTTGCCCATCTCTGGCGTCAAGCTTCTTCCCCCTTCTCTCGGCTGTTTGATCTGTATCCGTGGATAATTCTCGATTTAACCTTTGAAACTGAGAGGCATCCCTTTAATTGCAACGATTTATTGCTTGGTTTCGTTAAATATATTCGTCGAGACCAGAGATGAAGCAGAACATTTTTGTTGGAATAATAAAAAGTCTGTGAAGGTATTTATTCCATTAAATAGTAATTTACAAAAATTTAATTGAGAAACATGTATTGAATATTTAGTTTAGACTGCCAAAAGCAGACATAAATTATTCGTACCATTCAAACTTTGATTTAAATTCAATAAATTAATTTTCACGGACAGATAAAACACTGTTTATCTTTTATTCATTGCTTGAATTTTGCCCATCTCTGGTGGAGATACTTAAAACTCCATCGCGATAGAATAATAATTTTGTATATGCGCTGGAGTTTAAGTCGAATGCTCGTTGCAACGGATTTGTACTGGAATGTTTTCGCAAACTTTATATGTACAATTTCAATCTCCGGAACGGTAAAATAAATGCGTTTCTTAAACTTTCTAGAGCATAACACGGAAAGTTTAAGAAACGCATTTATTTCAGCGCTTCCATTAATTATACACAACAGACCTAAAAAGAATTTTTTTATTTTTCAATGAATACCTTAGATAATACCCCGCTCTAAGTTTCAACGGCTAGATCATCCACTTAAACAAATTAAAAGCGTCGATTTTTCGTCTTCTTAATTGTCGTTGTACATAGATTTGCAAAAAGACGCTCCATCAACGATAACGATCGAACGAGTGATTGTTCTAAAGTAAGGAAACTAGGTTCAGAGTAAAAAAAAGTTGATGGAAAACGAAAACAAGTTTCTAACTAAGAACACGGACCGATCACCGAGATGCGACTAGATTTCTTCACCGTTCCTAAATATAATATACATATATACCGACTGTCGAAAGCGCTTCTTTAAGGACAATATATAATACATATATATATATCCTTGTATATATATACGTATATGTAAGTGTAATTGAACAACATTTTGGTTTTTCAAAACGTTCATGATAACTCTCACGCCTATTATTATGCTAGCAACGCGTTTACATATTCCTTGCTCTGCGACTACTGGAATCTCTCTCATTCTCTCTTCCTATATATATATATATAAATTTCTTAAACGTTCATATATATATATATATATATATACGTACACGGTAGCATCAGAACTCTGTCAATCATTCTCGTTATTTTTTTTTTCGTATCGCGTATAATACAGTTTCTGCAGTTTGTTTCTTGTATATTTATAATCAGGATGGCCAATGAGTTCTCCGAATTCAAATATTTGTCGCATCTATAAACGTCTCAAACGAACAAGTTCCTCTTAATAAAAATTCTGAACACAGACTTTAATTTAATGTTCAATTCCGTTGAAATTTAGATTTGATTCCAGACCAGCTAATTGCACCTATAAATAAAAATATTAATTTGATTTCTGATATAACGAATAACTGTACCACATATCATGAACTTATGTTTTCCTTGAAATGATAAAATGAATGTGTTATATACGAGAATGTCCATTTAGGTCGAAAACGTTTATACATTTTTTCCATAATACCATCTCTCCTCGAGATACTGATCTTGTTCTCTACAATACTGCCAAGCTTAAAAGTACTATTGCTTCGACTTATTATCATAAAAGTTTATTATCCAAGGAATTTGAATTCCACCAGTCTCCGCGAGTTCACTGGCCATCCCGAATGTATGCGGTATACACGTTTCAATTTATATGTGTACATATGTATAAGTATATGTATAATTACGTACAGAAGACAGTCAGAACGTGGGACACATACATATATATAGGTACATGTACACGACCAGTTGCTATATTACCGTAATAAAAACGGGATCGAGGGCTGCATCCTAATTGGATCGTACGTATTATTTACATATATTTCCCTTTCGCGAGTGTGTTTCCCATACCTTCGTTTCGTTACGTCCGTCCCTTCCTGCGCGACCCATAGTAAAGTGTTTACAATTAACTGACACAACAAGAGGTAATTGTTAGTTACGATAAAGAGGTAATGAGTAGATTATTACGATGCTTCCACGTGGAGTTTGGAACCTGGATGACTCGTGTGAGTTAGGTGAAATTCGATACAACGATTGTTTTACAACGAGATACACGGAAGAGAGAACACGGCACACAGTGTTAATTGCAACACGGAACGCTATTCAACCTTTATGCGTTTAAAAAATAAAGTATGTGAAACTCGATATTAGTTGAAATAGCTTGCGTCATTGAGGAAACTTGAATTTCCATTGTTATTGGTACCAGAGACATCGAGTAAAATAAATTTTATTGAAAGGATATGCGTATAAAGTAAACTGGATAATATTATAGTATAATATATTCATAGAATGTTAAATAAAATAATGTGAGATTAAGCAAAGCAACGTATCAAATAAATTTAAATCGAATCTTCTTCCATAACGAAGGGTAACTATAAAACTTGAACAGCATTCGGTCGTTGCATTTAATTCTGTATTAATTCGAACCTTAACGAGAAGAAACAGAATCCATTCGCATCCTGCACCGATGTTACCACGAAAATTGACCCGACATACCGAAAGAGAAAAAAAAAAACCGGTAATCGATCAATTTCCACAACGTGTATTCGAACCCTGAACTAGTGTCGAGTATTATACAGTTCACTAATACTGTAGGCCGAGTTTTATATCACGATGAACAAGTTTCACGCTTCCTGGCCTTCCTGGAAGCTTCGAAATCGCCGTTCCCTTCGTCGACAGCTTATCACGCGCGAATACATGTAGGATTATACGCTGGGATGATTAATACTCGATAAGCTCGCGAATCGAGACGAATTTTGTCGACTACAAATGGCGTTGTAATCGTTAAGTACAGAACGTGGAATATACACTGCATCGTCTAGGGACGCAAAAATGTAAAGGAAGAAACGACCGAGTTCGATGGAGTGTCTTTAGTTGCCATCTGCAGTAGTCTCCGCTTTCAAACGACGATCTTTACCACTTCGAACTTGGGAACTGGAATAGTCCTAATGAAAACCTCTATTGCAGGAAGAAAGGAAGTCCTTGGAAAGATTTAGCTTAGCAAGGAACCTATCTTGAGGGTGAGAACACTCCCTTAAACAAATTTAATTAAAAATTGTCAAGATTAAAGTCTCAAATTTTCTTGAATTTCAGAATTGCCAAACTCCCCTTGTAAGCAGAAACTCCTCTCCCCTATCCACATTCTCTTCAACCTTGGTTTTTCTTTCTTCTTGCAAAACGGTACCAAACCCGCTCTCAAATTGGCCAAGGGCGTCGATCCCGTTTTCTGAAAGCGGGGTCTCCCCTATCGTCTCAATTCGCGCCACAGGCTCCCTCGCCCTATCGCCAATTATATGTATATTCGCTCGCCTATTCCTTTTTGCATTCCATTCATCGTCCCGTTTTCGAAGATTCGTCGCTACAACGGCGCAGGCCATCCACACGGCACGCTGCACACGAACCGACGGAGGTTAGAGGAGGGACGAGTTGTGCATTCACTCGCGCTGCAGTATCTCCTGATTTGAGGAAATAGAGAAAGCTTTCAGACGGACTGATCTCTTCGCACGGAGCGTTCCAAAGCGTGGGATAATAATTGGCTCGAAAAAGCGCCAAGTACTTTCACGATTCGATATGAAAGGATCTCTACAAAGTGTGGGAAACCATTTACTACAGACCACCCTACGCATACAATATGTTACTGAAATTCACGTACACCGTGCAAATTTTCGATACTTAATAAACTAGTCTGATAATCCTTCAAGTATCACATTGATTGTCCATTAACCTCTTCAGGAATGATTTTTTTTTATTATTATCAAATTTTTGTTCTTCTTATTATTGACAGTAATTATAATTATAAAAAACTTAACGTCCATATATGTGGTCAAGGGCGTGAAGAGGTTAAAATTGGAAGTAATTAAAAAGACGAATACTGAAAAAATAACAATGCACATCAAGTTGAATGACAACATCAATAATATTAAAGAAAAGAAAAAAACTACATATAGAAATATAAATGACCATCAAATTATACAGGTAAATTCCATAAATCACACCAAACTGTCCTGTAATAGGATACATTCTTAATTTCTCATCTTCGTTTCTACATTATTATATATCAGATGTAATAGACACGTGTGACTGACTCATATACATTTGTTCATACTTCTGCACCAGGACGATCGCTTGAAATGCTTCACCAGAGCCCGAGAATTCTAGTCAGAGCGATACTGGGTTAATATGGAATTACCTGCGAACATTTCGCAGAGAATCGACATTCTTTCGCGTGTGTCGCAAGCCTCTGGCGCCGCGTGCTTGTGTACACTTCTTCGAAAATACACACCCTGGCGAATACGAGAAATATCGCTGACGCGACCGTCTTCGTTGCGTACGCTACAATGCAAGCATGCAGAAAGAGGATGCGTTCAAACGTGTCGTAACGCCGAAGACCCATTAATAGGGTCATTGGAAAAAACAAGTGGAAAAAGCGATTCGAGAAACAGGAGGATATTTATTTTCTTAGATATCGATTTGTCTACTGAACAAATAAAAGTGAACTCCACTAAAACGGTGAACAATTTCATTTTTATTTGTTTGGCAAATTACTGAACACCCCACCTGAATTAATTGCCATTAAAATTAATCTTGTTTCTCGAATCATCTAAGTCTTTCATGCCTCCTCTACAGATTTTTCAGTATGAAAAAGGAATAAATTTATAGCTTAGAGAGAGGAAGAGATGAAATATTCTAATAGATTCAGTCCAAGATGCCCAAGAGAGTTTACTCATTAATTTCAAAGACGCCTCCATGCATCCTGTATGACCAGTCTTCGATGAATTGTTGTATCGAGTACTCTAATTGTGAAACGTTTTTGGAAACAAATTGATCGCTTTGGAACGCTCCATGCGCGACAGACTGGCGTTCCTTTATGGATTTAACGTTCAACGAGACTCAATGGGAGAGACTAGAGAGGTACAACGACTGAACACCGACTTGAAGTCACCGTTCATCGGGGTTTGCCATCCTAGACGACGGCATTGAGTCTTCTACAAGTTTTTACGTCGTCGTCTGGGGGCTGTTCATTAGTTACAGAAACCCTCGGCCACTCGGGGAAAACATTTACACAATCCAATCGATTGGTCACCGACTGTGGTGCACTTACCGCTTCGAGGAACGGTCGGAGAAGATACAGTCGTAGTTCGGAGGTCGTCAGCTCATCTTCGTCATCTATTATTTTCACAGTCTATTACCTCATACTTATCTACTTTACAGATTATTAGAGTCAACACACAGCCTAACCCTGAGTAATAAAATAACTCTTGGAATTAAAATTACACAAAATGAATTCGATAAATGCATCCCTCCATAATCAATCCTGATAATGTGTTATTAAATTAGTGTTTATTGAACAACAAACTCATAGATGAACATACGTTCGATTACAACATTTGTACATTCTAAAGATGGCTCTAAAATAAAGACTGAAAACATGAAATAAATAATAGCTTCTGTGGGACTTGAAAATTATCAACCCTAGGATATAAATTTGTCTCTGATTAATTTTTCACGATGAACGAAGACGTCACGGCCCCTAAATAGTACGACCGTACCTTCTCCAGCAACCGATCGCCGAAATCTATGTTTACCAACTTACCATTTCCGTAGTGAGACTGGCTAGCGCCTCTTCGACGGTGGCCGCTGTCCTCCCTCCGTCGTCGTGACGCTGGCTGCCCCTGATCGGCGTCGTCGGGCAACCTAAAATTATCGTCAGTCGTCATAGTGCAAAGGAAATGTCAGCCTGTCGTAGCCCGTCAGTCGCTGGAGCGCAGATACGTGTTTGCCTAGCGACAGGTATCGAGTCGAGTCGGTGATCTAGGGGGTAGAAATTGTAGACTTAACCGTCGAGCTCGAGAGGTCCACTATTGTAAACGTAGCACAGAGATTTTCAAAGGAATTCTTTTCTTTACCATTTTAATAGTTAATTGAGTGATAAGAGGGCATTTGTCTAGTGATCCTCTCGGCTCGCCAAGATCGCCAAGATGCTTCAAGAATAGAAAAGCGTGCATCCTACGTATCGGTGTCTACGGGTGTCAAGAAGCGTGTATTAGCTAATGACATATGCCAGTGTAGCAAAGAACGGAGAAAAAAGAGAGAAAAATCGAAACTTATCTCGAAGCACGTCGGTTCTAAGCGACGCTCGTTGTTGATAGCGCACGCAAGAACCGAAAGATAAGTAAACAGTGTGTATACCAGTGTTGGGCGAAACGTAATCCACGATTAACTTCAAACGACTAAATTCTAAAAATTGATGATAAATATGTCAGATCACGTGACTACAGTTACATTCGTTGTTGCTACTTAGAATACAAAAACAATTAGAAAGCGATCATTGCCCAACTCTGGCGTGTACTGGGGTTTAATGAGAGTGAGGTCTCGTGTTTTTGCAATTGTCGTTTTATTGTCGATCTCTCATTGTCGAGAAAAAACGTTCGAGTGTGTTAACAAGGCTTATCTTGAAGTCACCTAGACAGGGCTAAGGAGTACCGTCACTGTCGATCACCTGTCCTCGTCAATCGTCGTTAACGAGGACAATTGGCTGATCGTGGTGTAATTAAAGATACGTCGAAGGTGCTCGCCAGCTTTCCATTTTTCATTATTCCTCTAAATTTCCTAATTTTGATATCGTTGAAAAAATCTACTCCCTGGATGAGCACCTTCGTTGACGAAATAATATGTATCGTGTACGTTTGTTCGCGTATGGTTAAATCACTTAAGGTTTCCACGCAATACCGACGGACAACAACCTTGAAATATAATCTAGAACACATAGACAATGAGATTAAATTTAGGCACTGGGTTTTTCTTAATCGGATTCACGATATTTCTGCACGCCTTCTTGCCGTCGAGTTCTAACTAATTCTAATCAATTCATCGTGTAATACTATTAGTTCAGCTCCGTGAACGTTCTTTGTTGAAGGCGAGTAATTGTAGCGCCGGATACAGCGCTAATTTTTGTGTATAAAGTAGTATCAACCTCCGAAATACCAAGCATTCTTTTTTCGGGTGTGCTACTAAAGGATGGAGTACTTTACACCCACCTGACAGTAACCGTATGAGGTACAATGGTAGTTAATTGTTTCTTCTATGTACATATCATATTGTATAATAATCGGTATTTCTTAGTTTATCGTAACTTTCACGTCTGTAGTATCGAAATTCTCAAGATACTAAAATAGTGAGCATAAAGCACCCCCTCTGGTATTGCAAGGGTCAATCTCGGAACAATACCGGCATCGAGTAAATATCGTTCGAGTACGAAACTGAACGAAGTAGCAACGCTGTGAAGTATGTATGTGTCATACTAAGTAGCTTAACTCGGTTTGCACGAAAACCTATCAACTCCCTTGGTATGCAATGACGTCGGTACATGCAACATAGCCGATATAAATTACCTAACGAGACGTATATCTGTGTCACGATTACAGGATTCGTTACCTTCGTCGCTACAGTTATCTTGACATAATACACAGCAAGTACTCGAATCGATACCGTCTAGCGTACAACCTACTTTACATAGTAAAGGGGATTCCTTTTTACAGAGATTATATTTCCGTGCACAAATCGTTCAATGCCCACGGTACTTTCAACAGCTTGATTAACAATGATATGACAGACAACGTTGTCTGCATTCGTTTCGGACAACTACCTTAAATCGTGGCACGTTAATCAGACTTCCGGTTGCTGGCACGAGCATCCCGTTGATTGCCCGTTACTTGATACGATTTCAGTTTCTAATGTCAGCAAGACGTTGCCTTATCTCAGTTACATTCCAGAAGGATATCCATTACGTCCGAGGATTTTCAAAGGGATTCAAAGCTTCGCACTATCACAAGCAATTAATTTTTCAAGAATCCTATCTCAGAGGCCTCTTCCTCTCACCGAAGAAGAACGGTAGGGCAATCAACGGAGCAGTCGAGCTCGATGGAAATGCCTTTGTCGCGAGAGTCGACGAAGAATCACGAGGAGAACACGAAGGAGTCTTCGAGATGCTCGAGCAGTAGGGCCCCTCAGGAGCTGTAGTAGAGGGTCAGCGCGTAGAGTAACTTACCTGCATCACCGCTGCTGGAGCTCTCCGTGTAGGATGGAGTGCCCTCCGTCCAGGTGGGCGTCGAACCTTCCGCGCTACCTGCTGGTGGTGTCCAGGTCAGGCCACCACCGCCTCGGCTGCTACCGCTTTCCACGCTCAACGAAGACTTCGTTTCCCTTCCCCCGCTCCCGCTTCCGCTACCACTGCTCTCCAAGTGGACGTCGGATATGCTGAAACATTTAATTAGATTTCTCAAAGCACAGATAACAAGACAGTCTTAATCTCTGGTTAGTGAGACAGGCATTGAATAGTCTCAGGATTAAATACACCACTTCTTTATTCGTCCTTTTCTCGATGTATCTAACGAAAGTTATCGATATCCTTTTACACTGAAGAAAGTTACATAAAGAAGTTTCTTTCAAAGCTCCCCGAGACTATTTTTACGTCTGGTTTCTAACAAAATTGAAATGGCCACTCACCTAACGGCATCGTGGTAAGTCTTTGTAAGGGTGACGTGGTGCACGACCTTGTTCTGCTTGGATTGAGCACTGCTGAGACTGCTCGTTAAGATGGTGGTCGGTCCACCTTGCTGCAGTTGACCACCGGAGGCCAGGGTTTGGTCGTTCGAGCGCACTGCATCGTCAAAGGGCGGGGGCGGGGTGGAGCAGGTGGAAGGAAGGGTGCCACCTACAAAAAGCGCACTACAATTAGCCCTAATGAACACACACAATGTGCTTGGTTCGTCGTAGGGAGTTCTAAGGGGTAGTATTCGCAAGGCGGGAAGGTAAACCTCCGTCGAAGAGCTCGGAAAAATATTTTTTGATCACTTTCAACGAAACGCGAGTTCACAAAATTTTTAAACGGAAAAAGAAAACAATGCAGTCGACGTTGTACTTATTCTCAGTCGATAAAAGTTCATTAACAAATTGGAAGCAATGGTAAAGATTCCAAGCGGACTACACTTCAAAGTCAAGGTAAGCCAAAGACAATGATTGACGTAGAAATTATTGACGATGAGTCGAAGATTTTAGTTAACTTCGCGACGTATGGTCTTCAAGGGTTTCTAGGGCTTCGAGTACTACTTGACGTTGTGTTATCGGTGATTACAGTAAGCACGTAATTAGAGTAACGCTAAGAGCACTTCTAACGTTTGTCGAAACATTTAAACAACGCACTGTGCAATATATTAAAAATTATTCAGCTTGTCGAAAACATTACTTAAAAAAATTGTAAATCGCTCCAATTCTCAGAAATGCTAGAAAAAAATATAATAAATTTACCAGATTGCGAGGGATATTACAAAAAAAAACCTTTTGACAGCTTGTCAAGAATATTATATAAAAAAAATGCCACATTGTGCAGCTTGTCGGGAATGTTATCGTTCGATCGAAGCATCAAAACGTTAGACATTTATCAGCACTTCCTACCGAAGTCAGTCCGAATAAGCCATTCTAAGTCGATAAAAATGGTGCTAGAACTACGTCTTCAACGATCTACCAGCGTGTCTACGTAAGCGCACAAATAGCGAACTACTTAGCCAGCGCGTAAGGCAAACAGATTGTTGCTCAAAAAGGGTATTGCAGTGCAACGAGCACACTCGTGTGAACGTCCCTTTATTGTGATACAGAGAGCACACCATACAAACACTCCTACAAGATCGTCTTCTGTTTATTCGATGGAATGACGGTGTTTCGATAGAGATGTAAAGTAAAATTTCTTTTTTGAAGAGAGACGCAGAGGGTTTCTTTTGGTACAAGAATAAATTCGCTGGGGAACTATTTGCATTCGAAATATTTCATAGTATATTAAGTAAAGAATATTTTTAATTTAATATCTTCATATTTCAACAATTTTAACTCAATATTACTAATATATTTATTTTTCTTCCAGGATCGAGGAGAAATAAAATTTTGTATCAATTTCGCGCAGTCATTTTGTAGTCTATTCTTTCAAGTACTGAATTGCAGAGTTTGCAAAACGAAAGCGTGAAATCCATACGTTATTTAGATGTTAAAAAAATTCGTCACGTTCGAAATGTAAACGGTACGATTCATCTGGCTGGGCATATTAGTCTGTCACGTCTACTCATTGTTCTATCAGTGTGAGACTTCTACGCATGCAGAAACACACCTCCAACCGATACAAGAAATGAAAACCAATCCTTACACACTACTACTCAAAACGTGGAAATTTTCTGTGTCGAGTGTAGCTTCCACATCGCAAACGATACCTCGTCGACGCCATAAAAACGACGTTGGAACGGCAAATAGAGTAGAATGAAACAGTAACAATAACAGTGCACCATCTATTTTAGTAGAAAATACGTAAAACGTTTAACTACTAACTTCTTCTCACTGGCTGGGGATTTTTAACAGTAGGAGGGATTCTTTCGAGTCTGTCGTCGATTAGATGTATTATTACAAACTCACACGAGAAATCGAGTAATGAGATGCGAAAAGAAGCACGATAGATTCTCGAATAACGCGGGTATTAATCATTTAATATTTGATACTGGGCTTTATACGATAAATGAAGTAACTCTTCAAAAATAAGGTAATTTTTAAACACACAAAATGTTCGTCTGCATAGAATTAACGAAAATTCTGTACCGCGTTATACGAGGTTGTGCTTCCGAGTGATGTGTATTTGCGCATGCAACAAAGAAAAATTAATTTCCGGAGCGTCCTCGAGTATTCGAAAATTGTTTATTGCCACAAACGTTCATCTCTTCCTCCAACTTTCCGTAGACTTCCATTTTTTCCGACTTCCACAGCAAATCCTCTAATAAATTTCCATACTAACGTCGTCCTTCTCCTGATCTACCATTCATCACAGAAGAGTGGCATCAAATTAAACTTTCTTCGCAGACTTTTGGTAGCCGTGCAAGAACGACGCGTTAGGCACTAAAACATTGGAAGAAGATCGTTCCTGACGTCCTCCCTTCAATGTATTCGTCAACGGTTTCAAAATGTTGGACTTGTCATTTTTCTTCTTCTTCGGTTGCTCCCTCTGCAAGCTCGATCGATAAGTCTCACTGGACTCTATCGACCCATCGACGTACTTTCTCGCCAAGTCGACGTCTCGAATCCTGACAGTGTCCATGTTACTCTCCGCCTCTATTTTCGAGGAGTAGACCACCTCGTCGCTCTTGCACTTCTCCTCGACTTTCTTCACGAGGAATATTCTTTTCTCGGTTCTAAGACGCACAACCTCGTCTTCGTTGCTCAACATTCCATCGTACCTGGTCGATTTTGCCAAGTACTCATCGTTCCTCTTGCTATCTTCTTTCTGAACAATTTTCGTCTTTCGAGAGCAGTAACTCATTTTCGTGGTGGCAGAGGTCGTACACTTGGGTTCAGGGGCAAGTTTCTTCCTTCTTTGAGCAGACCTCTCCCTGATCTTCCTCAACAATCTGCTCTCCCGTCTATGCTCCATGAACGTTCTCTGGACGTTTCCCTCCCTGGTGACCGAGGTGATCGAGCTGTCCACTCTGGAAGCCTCGATCCTCCCGTCGATCTTCTTGGTGCACTCGGAGCGACGAGTCAATGTCGTTATGGTCGCGATGGAGGCCTCTAGCTCTCTCTGTTTCCTTTTCATCCTCTCATAGTAGGTTTCGGAATGCTTCTTGTCTTTCCTAGACATTTTATAGTCCATCAATTCGGGCCTGGAGGCTGGGTTCAAAAAATAAGTAAACTTGGCCAGGTGATCGGTCTTCGAGTTAACTCTCGCCTCGGTTTCCCTATTATCAATCTTCCCACGCGGCCGTACAAAGTTTCTTCTCTCAGGCCTGAACGGATAGGGGCTGGTTCTGATCACGTACGATCCGTCGACCTGCTCCACGCTGACGAACTCCTCCTGCTCGTGCTCCATCGCCCACTCGTTCCAATGCCGAGGGACTTCCCTGATTGGAACCCCCGTGATCGGGTTCCGGGCCCCTTGGACCGTGGATGGGTCGCGTCGCGAGGCTAGGTAGGCGGGGGTCGACTCACGGGCATGCAACGTGTTCGTGTACGTGTTCAGGTTCGCAGCGATGGATGTAGAGGCGTTGGAAGTGACAGAGAAGTCGGTGTTGGCTGTGTGGGAGGACGCCGCGGCGACGTTGGTGCGACAGAAAGAGGTGCCCGCGACCGAGGAGGTGTCGGTGGTCGCGAGCGCAGCAGAATAGACGGCAGAAATGTTATCGGGTGAGGATGGATGGTGCGGGATGCTCGAACTGTCATGCAAGCGGTATCTGGTGATTATGGCTGCTTCGTCACCTCGGCTGGATGCCATCGAGGACGTGGAGGTGGCGGTTCCGCGGTGCTCCTCCGTGAACCTGGTCCTCGACTGACTGCCCCTAGGCGGGACAGGGGGTGGGACCTTGCCAGAGGGCACCAGGTTCGGATTGGGCGGGCTGGCGGCCGTTCTACCCTTCAGAACGGCAGGGTAGCTCGCCACCTTGGTCGTGGAGGTTTGATCTTGATGGAGTGGTCCAAGACCGGCGCCCAAGCTCAACGGGGGTGGACTCACGGGGCCTGAAGCGAAGTTTACAGGCGTGGAGGTGGCGATCGGCGCGGAACCCGCGGACATCATCGTGCTGGTGCTCATCGCAGGGTCTGTCGGGGTTGCTGCTTCGTCCAGGTTGACGATTGCCGACGTTGCCAGGGTGTGACACGGGTGGAGGCGCGGGGGTTGCGGGTGCAGCGGCGCGGTGACGGGGTAAAGAGACACAGAGAGTGACAGAGAGAAATGGGCAGAGAGAAACAGAGAGAGAAGCTGGTTGAGAGAGGTCGCGCGATTAAAACGACGGAACGTTGCCTCGGAAGGGTCTTTTTTTCATTTTGGTTGTTGGTCCAGATGGGGAGAACGCTTTTGCAGAGATGTCGCGAGGATTTGTTCGTTCTTTGATAATAAAACACTCGACGAGGACAAAGAAACAAATATTAACGCACTGTTGACCGGCAATTTTACACAGAAACGACTTCATGTCACCGGCTATTATTTCGTAATTGAATGTGAAATGAAAGCAACCTAAATAAACTCCAATAAACTTTATTTATATTTTATCAACATAATGAATTGAAATGAAAAAACCGAGAGGACTAAACACGATGAGCAGAGCTTTTGCAATATTCTATATCGCTCTGGGTTTCATGAATTGAAATAGATAATGCAAGTGCAAACACGAGGAATTAACGTCTTTCACCTTCCTCGTGTAAATTACTATTGTTCTGACACTATATCAAAAAGAAAGGACCAACATTCTCACAAATGGTTATCGTTCAGTATCCCCCCGAAGCAACGATGCGCCATCGTCAGAGAAAGTATCGATAGGTAACGATTGATCAACGGGTGACTATGATTACGAACGAGATACAACGACAGTGAACAGATCGTATGTTTGCATAGACCATTCGAAACACGAGTACCGAAATTCCTGTCGAGGTATATCTCGCTGTCAGGGTGTCGAACGCAATAAAAAACGGCGTGTCTTTGTCGAAGCTAACCGACTTTCTCGAAAGAGACCGCTATAGAGAGAAATGATTATGGACACTAGGAAAGTAAGTGATCGTATGAGACTCACCGGCCTTCGTGGGTGACGTAGCATGCATTGTCGAACTTCCGGTTGTCGGCACCGCTAAACCACCATATAACACCATGTACCATTACCGTATCACCATCTATGCGACTCTTGATCGGACAGAGAAATCTCCACGCTCGATGACACGAAAAATTGCTTTCTCCCAAGGCACTCAATTTTCAGACGTTCATTCTGGAAATTGACTGCTTCGTATAACGAATACAGGTCCCAGTTTGCACTTGGGGTGGCCATGGAGGGGTTGATTCGTTGCAAGTTTCTCTGTCCAGTCACGAGTCAAAGGTGCCCCGAAATAAAACAGGGATATGAGCAAGGGACGTTCGTGGCAAACAGAGAGATTCAATGATCGGAATGCGCGCATTCGACTGACATTCACGATAGAAAGCTCTATATATTCTTTGCGTCTGTAGACAGAATCGAACGGGGTTTCTTTTGGAATGGTTGGACGATTGGCAGATAACGAAATTATTAAAAAATGCGCTGAATAGTCTGTGAGCATTTAATATCTTCTTTCGCAATGAAAATCCTTTTTATAAACAGTTCTATAGATTAGACTTCAATTGCTTCAAATATACAGTAATTCCATACGATGATATTAAAAATGGTTAATTTGTAAAATTATTTCTTAAGAGGGCCTTCATTGTAACCACAAACATTTAAAGGAAAATAATAAATGTTCCCACGCTACTCGAGCTATGTTGATCACAGACGAAGGCTATTATCTTATATACGATCCTTTGTTCAGAGCAACTCCTTCTCAAATGTATGCAAATTTCATTTCACCAAAGTCGCACGGTCACCCCGTTTTATTCATAGCAGATTCGGTAGAGTAAGACAAACGTGTATCACCTACCGACACGGAACACGATAGGGCGTACGTCATTCGCACGTGGAAGCACGTGCGAGCAATCTTCGTAAAAGCGACAGGGAATCTTCTGAGAGGAACGGCTCGCCGATAAGGGATGATTCAGTAAGGATTCTTGGAGCCGGCATGGACAGGGATCGTAGTGAACGCTTTGGAAGCGGGCAACGTGGGAATGCCGCATCTAAGTTTACTGTACTGATCGCTGTGCCTGGCTACACACGTGAAATTCAGCGCAAAGCCAATAATAGAAACGTGGAAGATTTTCGTTCGAATCGTCAGCCACGATTTTCGGAACAGAGAGTGGGCACTTTCGTTCATCATACCGCTTAACAGTCCATTCATTGCAATCTTTTGTAGCGTATACTTCATTAAATAGGTTGATAAATTAATAAACGTTCGTTTTGTTTTTAACTCAACTACCTGTCTAATAAAATCTTCTCTTTCTCCAATTTGTTCTATCAACAAAATCAACTTTTAGGCGATACAATTAAAGGATTCATCTCGTATTTCAGGGATCTGCGTTCCGAAAATCGGTCGGTTCCCGAGGTCACGTGAGACCGCGTGAAGCGTAAAAAAGATGTTCGAAAAATATTCGTGGAAGAATCGAGCGGACGAACTCACCAGTTGAATCGAAGTCGCCGTCGAGTGGTCTGAGCGGCCTGGTGATGCTTTTCCTCTTCGATGGCGAATGTTTCAACGCTGAAACACAAATCGTCCGAGTTAGAATTTTGGATCTATCGCGATCGACACGAGACATTGATGTATACTCGTGGAAATCGGAACGGTCAATTGGAGATCTCAGATCGGTGCCTATCGAGGGGGCGGGGATCAAACGAGTTAACGCTACAAAAGCTGACGTCAGTGCCGCGGCAAGCTTCGCGAAGCTTTGCAACATTGTTTTAGAAAAAGTTCCGAACCAGCTCGGTCTTCAATGCCACGCAATTACCGCGTAATTGCGTTACAAGGATTTATTTTCGCACCGTGTTTATTACAAGGGAAATTTCTTATTCGACGACAGAAACTGTCCAGATGACTCAAATCCTTCTGGATGGTACCGAGGAACGTTTCGACCTCCATTTCATTGGGCCACCTCCAGTGATTTAGAAAAGAATATCTAAAATAACATTGAAGACATAATATGGAAAAGATTTGATTAAAATAATTTTAGATATTCCATTGTGCACCACTAAAGATGGCTTAAAAAATACTGGTGTCGACTGAATTATTATTTCTGACTTTTCACGAGTAACTAATTGAATTTTAACATAAATAAACATACGTTAGTGCTCTAATTGGCAAAAGAAGAATATTTCTTTCGACTTGTAACAGAATCTCCAATTATAATTCTTCATAATACATAAACGTTCTACTTTAAAAGTTGGTTAGGCTTCGAGCTTCTATATGTTAACTTAGAAGTTTCTCTAGCCACGATGCTCAAAAATGGGACCTCTACGACCAATTACTTAGAAGAATCCAATGTAGATCGACTCTTGTCACAGCACTGGTAACCAATACTAAATCTAACTTCTTCACCGTCTTGCTACGCTTCTTTGATTTCTCTACTTTATCGGGGAAAACGCGAAACTACCAACGATCGAAGACTTCCTCGGAGGAGCTAGTCTCCCGGATAACTTCTAACACATATTGTAAGACGACAATGGCAAATACACAGGGTGCACCGTAACACGTGGAAGCCACTTCAGCGATCAATTCCAATAATAAAAGTTCATATAAGTAAGAGTAATTTTGGTTTGGTGACAAGTTCAAACTCCAGAATTTTGGTATAAATAAACTCACATACCTACCAAAACACTAACCCTTTGCACTCGAGAGATGACTCTCAGTCACCACTGGGTTTTTCACGCAGCAAATCTACCAGCAATAATGTTCCATTAGGTTTAATTTCTTTGGAACTCGAAGTGTCAATAAAATGACAATTGGGCTTCGAAGTCAGTCTAAGCTCAGCATTCGTGGCGATAGAATGCTAAGAAAGCATCTCGAGTTGCTAGTAGATACCAGAAAAAAAGGCCTCGAGTGCAAAGGGGTATATTATTGAAATGTAGACCTAGAGTTAAAAATTACTATAACTCAAAAACAAACTCAATTAGGATACACGTTTACATGAACTCTTTTCTCTGCTTTTGTCCCCCCAATCAACCACTGACTTATCTCACACGTGTGACGATGCATTCTGTACGTTCTAGCCGATAACACCAAAAGCTCTGTGTCCCTCGTGGTAGATTTGAGCGACAGAGATCTCTCAATGGCGATCGTTGCCGTGTGTCGCCCCGTGGTAGGCTACTTCCTGACGTAACATGCCTCTGTAACTGAAACATCACATGGAAATCTACGTACGTACGTACATGGGACCGTGGCGACGTATCATAGCGAGACAGACTCTCGACGTAATCGCCACGAACAGCGAAAACGGTTTTCCAACCGTCGTATCGCGGGGCAGCTCTACGCTAAACTAATATCGCTGCGTAACGTTCGGGTCTGATTAAAATCCGGATGACGGTGTTAACTGGAACGAGGCGCGACTCGAGATGCTACGGACCTGTGAAAAGTATTCTGACGCGAGGGAAAACGAGCGACGCAGTGCTAACCCTCCAACGCGAACAGAATAAACACCGCAACAAACTGAAGGAGTATATTTGGCCGAACAATTGGGGAACTTCCAAGTTCTGTTGTTTAGTGAAATAGAAAAGACGAGCAATGACTAAGCAATCACGCCAATTCCAAGTCGAACGTGTTATAGTGTTTTCGAGAATCTTCAACTTGGAGATCTTATACGAAGTCTAAACAATTTTTTCTCTGAAATCTGATAGAGAGCAATTAAAATGTCAAGTATGATCTTTAATTTCAGGCGTTTGTAACGAGGCTATGATCTTTTTTCGCGAAGTTACTGAAATGTACATCTCGAGAGGAATTGGATTTTGGATAGGTGTGAAACGTAGGAGAAATGTGAAAGATTCACGATGGAAAAAATAGCCTTGAAAGACCAAATTACTCTGTCTTGACTCCTACAAGACGGAATCATCAAGTGTCTCGTCCAAAGGCTAACTGCCTCGCACGCTGGTTTTCCCCCAGAGAACCCCTCTTTTCACAGGTCGCACCGTACCTTAAATGTTTCTTTGTTAGGCTATGGGGCGGCTGTCGTGGCTAAGTAAAAAACATTCACGTTCTATGCAAAAATATCCCATGAAAATTCCTGACGGACTTCCACAGTCGCCCAAGCGGAAGGATCGATGTTAAAAATTCCATCCGCGGCCTGTGGGATCGAGAACACTGGCTCTCGAGAGGAAGATGACCTAGATTCGCGCAAAATAAGAGGGTACTCGATGGAGGTGGGTGGATTACGTGTCCTTGAAAAAACTGTGAACGTGTCGAAGCGTAAAAGAAGACAGAAGTGTGTGAGAAAGTGAATATGAACGAAAAGAAGAAAATTCTGACCAGGCACACGGATTCTCGCGGGCATCGCAGAAGCAGTAGAAAAATCGAAGAGTTGCTTTGTCACGATTTCGCAAATCGATATCTCCGCCATTGGTTAATTGCTCGAACAAAAAGGACGAATTCTCGACTTCTTTTTCGAGCATCTCCCATATTCGTGGCAGAAATATCAGACGTAACCCGCGGCGCGTTTTTTCGTTGAACATACGATGCATGATGTGGAGAATGCAAACATCTACGAGTACATCCGCGTGATCAAACATTTATACACACATATATTTAGAGGTACAAATGTACTTAAGAGTGATCGAAGAGAGGCGAAAAAGATAATCAAAGAAGCGTTGCGAGATATCGAGTTCGTCACAGTACGCGAAATACAAGTGCATTACTTTAGATAAGAAAAGGAACGTTGAAAGAAAAATGGAGCGTGGATGTTAATCGAACGGAAAAAGAAATCAATAACGCTATATGAGAATGAAAAACGTCAAACCTCCAAAACTGTAAGCACACGTCAAAGAAGTCAATGTTATGTACAACACTCAAAAACAAATTGGGTTGGGGGTGAGCGAAAAATAAAAGCTGCGATCACAATCTTTCCTACTTACTGTACGCACGATCTCTTAGCTACGATTATTGCTATTATAAGGATTTCACATGCCACGATAATTTATACAGAATACTTCACAAAACTAGAGGTGGAGTTTTCTTGTTCTGTTGGAAATCGAATGAGTAAAATAATCAGCACGACAAGCAATTCTTAGGTTTTCGATTATCTGCGGTGCTAACTTGTGAAATATTAATCTAAATAATTTTAAAAAGAGGGGACTAGAGTTTACAAGTTTACATTCTTAATTAATAATCCACAGATTATCACCAAAGAGGATCCAAAAACCAAACAAATGCTGGTACTGCTACTTGTTTTATTCAAAATATTCCTCAATTCTCTACGTGTAGACTGTATTTTATAAACAATTCTATAGGTAAGAGACGCGAGAGTCGCCTCTAGCAAAGACTGTACTTGTCCAGAGAGAGGGAAAGGAAAAGCGTACTAAAGTAATTCGACAACTCGATGCAATTATGGAAAACGATCTCGTAAGGGTGCTGGTAAAAGCGAAAACGTTCTGTTAACGAGATCGAGGATTCTATCCAGGTACAAAAGAGTAATATACACCGGGTCATTACGAGAGAGATAGAGAGTGGAGAAAAATACGCAAATCGCAAGCAGAGAAGAATCGGTATCAAACCAGACAGAAAAATAAGTAAGTAAATAAACGAACATACGTGGTACAATCATACAAAATGGACAGACGGATAGACAGACAGACGGACGAACAGACAGACAAAGTTACCTATGTAGCTGGTGACGAGGTTACGGAATTTGCGATGATTCCCCTTAATCTCAGGCAGGTCCACTTTTGGTATTCGATTTTCGAGTTTCGATCGGTAGCAGGTCAGATCAGGTCATTGGGGGTTGACACGGAAAGAAGTGCACGGGACACAAAAACATCAACATTTAGCTAAACTCCGCACTCAACATCGTTTATATATACCGGATTTTATTAAATGATCGGTAGATCATAAAAAGGGGGGCCGTCGAGAATAAAGTAGCAACACAAAGGAAAGCGGGGGTGTACATTCTTGCCTCGGGTAAATCGTAGATAAGAAAAAGACAGAGAGACGGGGAGAGAGAAAAGCGACGGTAAAGTACCATTCTCATCGTCGTGGATGCCAAATAAAAGGGCACGGTGTAGATTATTTATCCTGACGGTAATTAAATGGCGTGAGCACTCGATTCTGATGGGTGTTTATTAAAGAAACGTGACATTTAGACCAATTGTCTTCCTCGGGGATGGAAACTACTATTCAAATATATATACGAATAAAATGTGAAAGAAAATATAAAATATGAAATATATACTATGAAGACAAATATTCTATAGTTAAAATATAAATTTTGAATGACAACTATGTCTGATATAAGAGTACATCGAGTGCTCTTCGTAGCCAATAAAAATCACTCTACTCGGACGATCCTATGATAAGTTCTCCTCGGAACAATCATTTCTGTTATTGTCGTGGAATCTCGATTATTCGAACGCCTCTTACTTCTCCCGACTCGCGAAACACTGACCTCAATCCCAATCACAGAAACACTTAACAATTTTTTTTCGCCTCCGAATGGTAGCTAGTTAGTCACGCCAGGTTTTTCCCTCCCAAGAGAGTCGGGAATTCCTTGCATCTTAAGCTGGATTCTAATTGCGTTTGAACTCGAGCGTGATGGACTTTTAATTCGGGTCCAACGCATAAAAATACTCGCGTCGATGTCGTTTCTCGAATTAACCCAGATCCGAAACTATTTTTCGTTTCCCGATACGGTATTACTTTTAAAATGTAGGGAACATCTACGACGATGGGAGATCAGCTGCTTCTCGAGGCCTACTTGCTACGTTGTCCGCAAAAATCGTGCTCGTTGCGAATACTTCTTTATCTAAATCGCTCGAATAATCCAGGTTCCGTTGCACGGGGTATCTAAAGTGTTATGAATGAAATGTTAACGTAACTGAAACCAACGCGCGATCGTTTTGTTCGAAACGAAAGATTTACTTAAAATAAAGAGAAAGGGAACGCGCAACGGCGATCGAGGAGGTGGGATGTGAATCGTCTCGGTGATCTTTGGTCGATCGAGGATCGGTACTTTGTTAGTCGCATTTGCAAAGTACACAAATCATTGTAACAGGTGGCGAGTGAAACCCAAACGTACGTTAAAACACAAACAACAAACACATATCGCATGATACGCTATTTAAGACAGTACACAAAGTGGTAACGCGTTGGTAGTGCAGAAAATAAACTTTGTATGAATTCATGGCTACGGATGATGGGTTGAAAAGGGTAAGGGTGGATGAAACAGTATTTGATTACGGTGTTGGGTTGCTGCAGGGATTTCTGATGAGTAACTGGGAACTAATTAAACAAAAGTTCGTGTTCTTGGACGAGTATGACCGAGTTCTTGGGACACTTGTGTACGCGTCATGTAAGTTGCCCAATTCTCACTTCCTTTACTATTAATTACTCTGTGGTGGGGACACCTGTGCCTCCGAAATTATTTCAATTATTTTATTAAGGTAAAATCACTTGCCTCTAAAAATAAACTGATTGATCCAAAAGAACAAGTATATTCTACGTTCAAGAGTGAATAAACTAGAGTCCCTGCAGCGACCCAAACGCAGCAGTAGCGTTGTAGGTGGTAAGTAAAGAGTAGTATAGCAGGGAAACGTAGAGAGAACAAACAGAAAACGGTTACAGAAAAGAAAAGAGAAACAAAGAAAAAGAGTAAATGTACGGGTAGGCTTTATAAATGAAATGAAGTTGGTAAACAGCGAAAATGTTTATTGCAAAATATATAATTATGTACATTGGTGTCCACGTGGAGCCGATAGCTGAATATTTTCACAATAAAAGAACGTGTGTCTACTTCTACCATTTTTCTTATCTCACTCTCTCACGCACTCTCTCTCCGACACACCCATGCCATACCAGCTAGCTTTGCCAAAATATACTCGGACTCCTTCGATTGTAAATCGCACAAAATTGTCTCGAATGCGTGTAAAAAAGAAAGGATATGGCGAGTGGTTGGTTGGTCTAAAAACTACACAACTCCAATTGTTCTCTGTTACTGCGGCGCGAGGAGCTGAACGTTTCGGCAAAAATAGAGGTATTGCAAAAATAGAATTTTGTGCGATCCGTGACAATCTCTCATCGATCACAGAACACTCCGGACGAGGTGTCATCGATACTGCTCTCTCGCGTGTTCGTTAAAATAGAAATCTCTGCGATTCACGTCTAACATCCTGGATACACTACTAGAAACCACGAGGGTCGCGATATAGTATTACAAAAAACTTTGGCACACGTCGATTATAACGAGAAACTTCGATTACCGCGAAAACCTGACTTTCGAACAAATTTTCGAATCTCTCTCGACAGCGGTTGGCTAAATTCTGTGCGTACAGGGACGGCAACGTTCAGCAGGAGAAAAATGTGCGATTTGTCATTTACAATAAATGCGCTTCACCCGGAAACCTTACGCCTATTCAGCATCGACCCATTTACGCACGATACGGTTACCCCGAACAGTTACTTCTCCTCTGATGGAAATTACCGAATAATACTGGCTTCGATGCATAAAATACTCAGCTACGTATGTGGACACCAGTGGACTGGTCATTTTGTGCTCGTCAATGAATTTACTGAACATCTCAAGACCGTCAGGTCTGTCTCGAAACCGATGTAAATGAATAATGAGGTCGACAACTTGATCAAAATAAAGAATGACGAAAAAAAAATCATTAAAATAAAAACTGAGGTACATTGTAAAATTAAGAGAATAAAAATATAATCGAAAAATATGTGTATCGTGTTAGCAATTAGTTACACCAATACAAAACCCAAAGGTGACCAACTGACACATCCAATGAACCCAGGTTGCTTAATCGACAGCATTAATTACGAAGGGATGCAGGTATCCGAAAAGGCGACGACGGTGATCATGATACGTGCTTTTCCTTTTAAAATCATTTCTCATCGGGCATGGACGAGTTACGCGATTCGAAGAATAAAATGGAAAGTTAAAAATGTAAAACGTAAATGTAAAACGTTAAAACGATGAGAGTACGAGTGGATCGCGCATGGTTTTCGGATATCCGCACCAGGAATTAATTCGCATTCTCTGCAGTCGTTTACCTTAAGTGACTATTACGATTATTAGAATCTTTCTGGACGGCTAAATTTGTCTGTGATTATGATGTGTGATGGCATGATTCGCTTACTCTCGCTTGGAATACGTCTTAAAATAAGGATAAATGGAACGATATGTTCTATGAAAAGATCGGTTGACTCGTTCTAGCGATCGCGGACCAGCGGAATCGAGAATGTATATAATAATCGATTGATCCGCTACGAACGCGACTCGATACCGAAAATTGTTATCACAAACGAACCGTGTGAACGTCACCGAATCGATTAAATGAATTGGAACGTTCAGTGATGGCGGTTATATAATAAAGAAGCTAAAAAATATAAACGTAACTTTAGCTTATATCTCACTGCTCCACGCAAACTGGAATCTTAAGTAACGAGACAATCAACGTCGCTACATACACGTAAACAGTCGTATTACGCGCGTAATGGTAAGTACCGCTTTGAGCATTCCTTTAACCCTTGCCATCAAATATCTCAAACTTTCTGTCCACCCCCATGTCTTTGCTATACGTACGTTTAAAATATGTCTCAAAGTTTCGTTCTTTCGTTCGCTTCTGTAAAAGGTACTATGCGATAACATTGCATTGTATGATAGTTGAATCACAGTAATTGATGCTATTACTATAAACAGAAAGATATATAGTCATTAATCACGATCAGCTGGCGACAAAAATACTCGTCGTTATAATTCTACTAATCTACTTAAAGCCTAGCATCTCTCTTGTACTTTATGCGTATTACGAGAAAAGCCAAAAATCGTTTGGCGACACTAGACGCGATATACGCCTGTCGTGAGTCGATTAAACCCGAAGTATAACACGTCGAATGAATCGCTTACAAATTAGGAATGAGCCTTGTTAAGTGTTAACATTGAAGTCAAGTTTGTTAGAAGAGGCTGATTAGGATGGTACTTACGTGACGGTATCTTCTTGAATACTGTCTTAGCCATGAAATCTTGAAAACGTTGCGCGTAAAAACCTGGCCGGTGCACGGACACGGTGTCCTGTAAAAAAATGCCGACATTTCCCTCTTTATATCTAAACACGCTCGGGTAGGGAAGGGTCGCGCTGACGCTTTCTTCGGTGAGAATCGGGCGGAACGGGTCGTACGATTCGTCGGGGGAAGAAAAGAATATATTCATTGTACTTACACCGTCGTGTACCATCGACTTCCACGTGTGCTCGAGCTTTTTCTTGAGCCTGTAACTTTGCAAAATATCAATGATACCAAGGAAGAGCAACAGGCGTTCGCCGCGTGCGTTGCGAGCTGGAATTCCACCTGGACTGCTAGGAACACGAACGTAATTAAAACACGTTATTAGAGCATCCGCGTTGTAATTGTAAAAGCATCGAAACACGATACTCACGGTACGTCGTCCTCCTCGTCTATCGGCTCGCTTTCAGCCTGAATACTTTCCATAGCGGTACTATGCGCGACCAACCTTTGTCGGTTTATGCTTCGCGATCGGTTCAGAGCGCTGGCCCCTACTCTATCCTCCCTTTCCGCTTGAAGAAATCCTGCAGTCTCACCACCGACTTCCGCCACTTCTTCGTCCGCGCTCGCTGATAACCTCTGCTCCTGCTGCAACGTGGAAATTGCATTCAACGCGCCCTGCATAGTACCGTAACGTTCTGCCTGCGATGGGCAACATTTTATTTCATCGAATAACAGATGACGGTGAAAGCCAACGTGCAGCGATTTAAAATTACGCAGACGCGTACGGTCGCAGGGAACAAATCCAATTTGGAGGCACAATAGACAGTCCCAAGCATATGTTTCGTAGGAATATGATGGACGCGTGTTTGGAACGGCCTATTGTGTCTCCAAAGTATAGCAATCTATTCGCGAAATTCGTCTGATCGAATACTTGGCCAAGTATTGCGCTCCATAATTCAAACTATATTTTTATTCTACGAGTAAGATAAGGGAAAAATAGGAGGAATAAGATAGGACAAGGGAAAGATGTTTATTCTCTAAAAAATTGTCGCCCATCTCGGCAGTAACGCTATCTCAAACGCATGTTTACCGCTTTTTCCCTCGCAGCCTGGTCGAGATTGTGAATACCAACGAGCAAAGAATAATCCATGATTTTGAAACTCTCCAACACCCGACAATCTCGCTGAATCGTTTTTACTAACGCGCTGTATGTGTCAGCCTCCAAGAAGATGCCTTCCGCGTGATGCTCCATAAAGTCCAAGTCTTTGTACGTCGGAGAGGACTTGGATCGTTCTGTTTTCGACGCCTGGCGTTTAAGTAACTCTTCTATTAGTCTCGTGAACCATAGACATCCACTTGAAGAACAGTAAAACCTCGATTTAACGTCTGCGCGCACTACGAAACTATGCCAAGGTCATTTTGGAAGTCATCACATTGGTGAGAGGACCTCTAGCACATTGTAAATCTATCCCTTGTTTTATGAATATTTCTATATTTCCATAAACGAAGGATCGTAAGGGAAAGTTGGGGTGTAAGGGCCTACTCAGACTATTGACTTTCTTTTGTACGAGACCTTTGGCGAGGATCACCCTTTTACCGAAAAGGTGTAGGTCTATACAGAAGTCTAGTTAACTACTACTTGGCTATAGAACAATGCTTCTCGCCACCTCCACCAGTTCTCTGTCAATTTTCTTGCGACGCGAGGTCGGTAGCCTGAGCCCTAAGGAAACGATGGGGTTGAGCAGTTGGATGCCGTGCAGAGGATTCCAGGAACTGGACTGTCGACAAGGGTAACGGTTTATGACTTGACCTGGGTTAATGTCTAAACCAACGTTGAACCAATGATTTGCTAACGACTTCAAAAGGTAAATTTAACCATTGGTAACTGTTTCGCGATAGCCACTCGTTAGGAAATGAGTCAATAACGCGCTTTAAGGGGGTGCTAGAAGTGAATCCCTCTTGCAACTATAATTATAGGTAATCAGTCCGTTAAATCAAGGTTTCATTCGATCTACGAACCACTACAAACCTTTCTTTTGTACGTTGACCCTTTCAAGTCGTATTTCTGATGCAGTTTCACCGACGAGGGCAGAAGATTATTCATGGCGATTAATCTAACATTTTTACTATTGCATCGGTAGCAATACAACCCGAAAAACTTCGGCAACAGCGTTCTCGGGTTTTGATTCAGATTCTGCAAAAAGCGAACATTGTTCTCAGAACTCCCAAACGATTCCTATCTTTTTTACGTAAATCGGTGAACTCACCATGTAATATCCTGGCAGAAGCGTTTGCAGAAACTCGCCTTCTTTGTGTTGCACAGTCTTTATGATGAACTCGTCATCATCTGTTAGATAAAAGATACTTCCACTAGCGCCGGGGTTCGACAATTCGCGTAACGGAGCACTACACATCGACATCTGAATATTCAAGCGGAATCATTAGACGTTACGAGCGTCGACGACGGCCATCGGCGAGGAAAAGAAACGTAGGAAAAATATGTATATTCCTTCGTAACTCCTCCCGAGGAAACGATCGATCGTCTATACTCACTAAAAAGTCGTCCGGTTGGATGCCAAAGAGATCTCGAAAGTAACGAAATGCAATGGGTGCGTAATTTTTGAACTTAAACTCGGAGAAATGGTGGGCGGGCGTGTGATTCGATCCTTCGCTGGGAAAGTTTGTCGTTTCCACGGTCATGAAGTCCTGCATCAAGAGATCACGCTCCGGTTTGCTGGCTAGACCGCCGACCGCATGTTGTATGCCTAACTGTATCGATCCCATGATTTGTGTCGTTTGGATCTGAACAACATTAAGACGACAACAGTGTTAGCAAACTATGTCGTGCGATGCTATTGACATTGTAATATGCCTTTGGAGAGAAATTAGTGCTCTAACTATAACTGGGAATTCTTGTTAATTTTTGTTGTATTAATTAAACAGTGAACATGTACAAGTAATAATACGCAAAGTTCGCTTGTAGGTACTTGAATATTAAAGTATTCGAATGGCCCCAGCTCTAATTCTAACATCCTCTAAAATAATTTATTGTTATAGACGCCAACAAATCTACGATACTTTACTAATTCTGGCTGTACCAAGGTTTTCTTATTCTCTAACAGCTTCTTTGACCTACTATGCCTAAATATTTTTTCAACCCTGTACGCAATGGTCTTCCATAATTCAACGAACCAGGACCGAATATTTCCCTAGAGTTATAATAACATTGCGAATATTTCGAGTTTCTAAAATATGAAGTTATTCTTCAAGGCCTTCGATTTTGATTTAAATAAATGCTCTAAAAAGCAAAAAAGGAATTCTACTACAATTCCGCGTTAAAAAGTTTTAAATACCCGAGCGAACAAAAATACGATTATAAACTGTACTATCGTGTTTAACATTTTTCCGTTTTCTATACACCCCCTGTCAGAGGGTCTTTACGGAAGACTCAATTACAGAGACAATTACAAAACAAATTTCATAGTGCCAAATCTTTTAAAAAATTTGTTACTGTAGATTCTATCTACTTTTGGACAGCTTACTACTTGAAGGCATAGTCTCACCTTGGTGTCTAGTCTCTTTAGACAATGTGAAAACCAAAACTTGAATTTAATACTCCAGTACTATGTTTCTTATGTTAACAATTTTAATGAAAGACTGATGCATTTTTATATTACTCCGTGCCTTACCTTTTTGTACGTGATTTCACCTCCCACTCCAACTCTTCTGTGCCCAATCTTTCTCTCTCGCTCCGATTTGTTTCTGGACACCCCCACAGGGGTTTTGGGTCCTGCTGTGCCATGTTGTATTATTGAGCTCTGTAGAAGATATGTTTGTCTGATTATTTTTTAAAAATGATGTATACTAAGGGATACGTATTATTGTATAATGCATTCTCTGTTAATCACCGTATCACTGTGTCTTTTTCTACAACCAAAAGATTCATATTCCATAAATATAATTCTGATATTATGACTAGTGTAATATGCTTGTTTTAAAAAATATAATAATTTTTGTAAATGTTAAATATATGATTTGATTTCTTTTTGGCGCCAATTATAACGGTCTTTTAACGGGTAACCCAAAACATCCTGATACTCTGACGCACTTCGCTCCGAACGTTCATCGGTAAGACAAACACGAGTCCAAGTACCTAAGGCACACACGGTTATGCGTCATTCGAATGAATAATTACTCGACTATTCTCGTCTCTACGAGCGGCGCGATTCATCTCGGTGCATCGCTCGAATCGTCTTATTTACAACGTCAGGCTACACAATGCCTCGAATCAGGGTCGACGTTGGAACTACTAGACCCCCAATGCAATTTTCAAACCCTTCTAATACATTATGATAACTAAATAGAAGTGGAACTTGTGTACTCCTTGAACACTGTTAGGTAAACATTCCCTCAAAAAGTGCATCAGTTTGATGAGGAACTAGAGTTAAAAGGCAAAGTAAGATTCAATCGGTGTAGAGTTAAGAAATTACTTTTCTCGCCTCCAAACTTGGAAATTCGATTAACCATTTTATCAGTTTCCAAGTCTGAACTTTATCAGTTTCTACGGAAATTTACGCAGAGATATGGCAATCATGTTTTCTTTGCAAACTGACACAATTTACTTATTCTTCTTCGACATAGAGCTCCGATATACAGTGGGTGTAGAATGTATTTGTACACCGATCAATTTCCCAAAAAACTTTTGTGTGAAATTGTAGTTTCTTAACTTCTTTTTTTCTAATCAATGATATTTTACATATTCTCGAAAGTCTCTAAGATAGATATAGACCAAACAACATTTACTAGTTAATATAATTTGTGAAACTAACAAAAAAATGCGAAAAGTGGGTGAAAGTACAGAAGCAATCATTATTTGTACAATTCTTATGACGAACTATTTACAGTAGTGTTTGTAACGTAAACACATTAATTTATTGCTCCGTACGAATTAGAAAACATCAAATTTCCCACTTCGAATAACTAATAATGTAGTTAATTTAATGCTTACAAGAGTTACAATAATTATAAAATCAAAAGGAAATCCCACAAAGGAAGTATTATATACTTATAAATTAATGTAAATTTTTTTTTCTTTTAATGAAGGTTTAAAAATTAAACAGTCGTGCGAATACTTATCGCTTCAATATTTCTATCGATTAATTGTTTTTTTCTTGTTAATTTCGCACCTTACATAAATAGCTATTTTTTGTTTGTACTCTATCTATTCTAGAGATTTCCGAGAATATGTAGAATGTCATTGTTTATCAAAAATAAGTTAATAAATTATAATTCTACACAGTTTTTTTGGAAATTGATCGGTGTACGAATACTTTTTACACCCGCTGTATTTGTTTCCTTAATACACACTTTTCCAAGCCTAGATTAGCCACAGAAAAAACATTCTTCCATCGAACAATTAAATTTGCATCCCTCATAAATATTGCACTACACAACATGAATTCTGCTTTTCATTCATCAAACACTGCGTAAACAGTTGATAATCTTTTACTCGAGACTGAAAACGTTCATCTGGTGATAAACATTTCCGCGCGTTTATCTCGGAAAACTTACCTATATCTCGCGAGGCAACGATTCGCGAAACCACGCGTGCAATCATCAAACGTGCCGCGTATACAACTCGCTAATCTCGCGGCACGATCTTCGTCACGAAACGTGTTGACGACAGATTGATTAACGCGTCGCGGGCAAAAATAGAACAGTTTTCGCCAATGAAACACGGATGAGGAACGCAGACTCTGACGATCGACTGTTGACAGGAAATTAAAGGGAATCGATACTGCGCATCCTCTGTCGACTCGTCGGGCGATTAGTCGAGGAGAATACCGCGCGGCACGCGGTAAATCGACGTGTCGCTGCGAGACATTCCAAGCCCAACAACGAAACGTGTGAAAATGCGCGATTCAAGTGGCTGGAGATAGCAAGGATTTTTCTTACATAACGTTCGACTGTATCTGTTGTCTATACCAGTGTTTCTCATACTTCAAACTACGTACTACACCTGGGGAATACAATTATGGTTTTCTAACTCCTTGCTCAAATTTCTCACGGGACAATTTTTAGTTACCGATGGTCGAACAAGAACAAGAATCCTATTCCTTAAATATAAATTAATTATGCATATTTCTTTAATATATTTGTGTTCTAACAATCTTTTTTCAATTTATATCTGTCTTACAGTCGTCTTGATATTAACAAAATCCATATTAAATAATAAAGAAGAGGGTCTTTCCAAGGAACCCACCAAGCCCAGCTTGAAAAACACTGGTCGATAGTTTAACACGTGGCAACGTTACATAAATAACAAGAATGTTCATTTATATAACGTTCGAATTATACACAAGTATCGACGTGATTTAAATGTAATGTGACACGAGCTCGAATGAATGTCGATAGGAAATGGAATCGCAGAAGTGGTTGATATTCGTTAAATTGTACACCGCAGTCGCACATATTTTAATTTGAATATGTAAACAAACAAGTTACGAAACGCGCTCTTAGACGAGCAAATATGCGAAATCGTTGGAGCGGAAAAGCGATACGCGCCTCGTCTGGAATTTCGATAGTATACCCACGTAAAACTGTTAGTAATCTCTCTCCGTTTCTCGGAATGATGCATCAGAGTATGGAAGTGTCAATGTATCGTATTAATATCTACGGTAAACGTAAGAGGGAATCAACTTTCGTCGATTGTCCGATCGAGAGAAATGTGTAAAGAATTTTCACTTACGTCATGTGCCGTCACCTTATCCCCCGTAGATTTATCTGTAACATATAAAAAAACAACGTGTTTGTCGCATGAAATAAGGTCACGTAACAGTCGACTCTTCACGTACACGCCGACGTTACGTTAGTGAATGAGGCAGTGGCGTAACCAGGGGGATGACGGGCCCCGAAAATCGAGGACCTCTTGTACCAAACAAAAAGCAAACGTAATTCTATTTATAAATGTAAGTTCTGTAATATATAGTGAATGTGAGGATTAGTTGTCTTATCAGACATTTAATATTTGATGGGGCTCCATAATGAATTTCATCGGATCCAGAGTAGTTGGTTACGGTTCTGTAACGAGAGTACCGTTTCTAACGCAGAGAATCAAAAGGACGCAACAAGAATTGCACGTTTAAACGGTCAGGTTAAGTCAATGCATATTCCGGGAAAGAAATGAGAAAGTGGAACGTTAACCGAGTTCAAAAACGAAAGTCGTGCACAAGGCACCGGGCTGCAACTCGCTTATTGACATACGTAAAGGCTCGCGTACCGTTATTTCCGTTACGAGTAAATTTCAGCCCTCGCGAGGAGCCTCGTAGCCTTCGTTCGACCTTCCGAACGGCCTCGGTTCCACGTAAACTTTCGCTATGTCTTTAAATCCCCCAAGGTTCGCCGGCACTTTAAATGGCCATTATTTTCGTGGAAGTTGACTCAGCGCGGGGCCACGACGACCGAGAGTAAAACTAATTCTATACCCCTTCGTTCTCACTGCAACCATATCACAACACATTGAAAATTATCGACCGAAATATTACTTCTATGCTTTCAAATCTACGAGTAGTTCTCTAAATATAACGCTAACGTATATTTAAAAGCGTCACGGTAAATTAGAATATATTACCATCAGTCGTACAGATATCGTTGCATTGCTGTGATAAGTGTTACTATAAATACAGTGCATAAAAAGACTTTAAGAGACTTTGAAAATATTGACGAATTCAAGCCAAGAGAAAGATTATCCATTGCATACAAAAATAATAATAATTAACGAATAATATCGAATACTTAGGCATCGATACATGTAGGAGTATGAAAGCATAGATATCGAATGCTTCCTTTAAAGTATCATTAACCTTCTATTCCATAATGGCTCCTACTGAGAACCCAATAAACTTTATTTACTTATTTAACTCATTGTACAGACGTCTAATAATAAATATGTATAAATATGAGCATGTAAAATGAATTTCATACACACTAGATGTTTCTTATCCTTGCCTAGCAGTAGCATCGATTGAACATTGATACCGAGATTTTTATACCTTTCGATTACTGGTAGGTCCTTTGATATCAATTTGCTCGAGTATCATCGATGCGTAATCGTATCAGTCCCACCGCTAGTGACACGTATCAGCTGTCAAATTGTGAACTGGATTAACAAGCGCAGCCCCGTAAGGGTCGTACGATCGTCGTGCGATTCTCGAGTTAATGGACGTCAATGACGTAACTAAGGGCGTGCAACATTGAATTCAAGGGGGGGACTCATTGTCAGTGATAAATAGTAGATATGGTCTTATCAAATATATTCTTGAATTCAATAAAAATTGCTCCGTAAAGTCTCTTAGATAATGTCCATTAGAAATTACAAATCCCAATGATAATTTTACTAATATCATTCGAGATTCGGAGGGAACAAAAGACATAATTAACTTCTACTATTATTGTGTATACTCTTTGTATTTCTGAGAGACTATAATCACTTGCGATAAAAATTTCATGTAGGTTATCTTTTAGAAAGAATAAAAGTGGAATTCCTAGCCAGATACTGTAATCCATGTATCTATAAGATACATATGCAGGACGTGGAGTGTTGTGAGACACATGCTAGTGTCCTGGTGAATGGTATACATTGAACTAGCTCCCAAATGCTTACCTTTATCTATCTACAATAATATTTGAAAAAAGTAACCCATCAAATTCCTACCATAATTGATTCTGTCACGACTCTCGAATACGTAATCGTATCATCAAGAACGGAGCGTCCGCACCGAAACCAAAGGAGGAGAAGGACGTAAAGAGCCGAAACAAGGAACGTTTCAGGCAAGAAAGGACCTTTGACGATTCTATCCCCAAAGTAAATTCGAGCACGAGGGCCCTGCCTAGCCGTCGCGGTCGGTTACGCCACTGGGGGCACGCGGAAGCGAAACTGAAAATCCAGATCGTCGGGAATCGATCGATCACGCCTATAAAGCCTGTCGCGTCGCGAGAGAGAAACGACGCCCGTGGTGAGCGTCTGGGATCGCCGTTCGGTCTTATAGGTTAGGTTCGTGACATTTGGACGCGAGGAGCGACCTCGACGATGATAAAAACTGTACTCACTGTCCTCGTCCGCGGACTGCTCCGGTCTAAGGTGATCCTCCGTCGGCTGAGCCGGGCCCGTGAAGCTCGTCTCGACCACCTCGATCACGTCCACATTGTCGCCCGAAGCCATTTTGTACGTGCGTGCCTTCCTTCGATCCAACGAGCGCACTGACTCACGTACCACGACGACGACGACGACGACGATCTTCCTGACAGTTTCGCGAACGCGCCTCCTCTGTCGTCGCTTTGCACGCCAGCATCTCTCTTTCCAAGTTCGAGAAACACGGCACACTCAGGGCGACGCGTACGTGACGCGCACTCCCTCGGAGAACATTTTCGTTGCACTCGCGTTACGTTTACCGATTCACACCACCGTGGCCAGAGAAAAATGTCACCGATACGCGGCCCCAAAAGCCTCTCCAGCTCCGGGCTGAGAACACCCACGAACCTCGAGAGCGCCTCCGGCCTCCCTGCTATTCGTCTATTGACCGGACGCCATCTTGCAGCGATGCGCGCGACATCCCACGCGAGACTAGCGAACTTTGCCCACCTGGGTACACTTTCGTTGTAATCTCGTTTATTTTCGTTTCTTCGCTCCTACGACATTATTTTTCGCATTCGCCGTGCAGTCACCGTGTAATTTTAACGCGACGTCGAATCGCGCGAGCGAGATAATGCTTACTGGATAACGAATTTGTCAGAAGGACAACTTTATTTACGTTGGTTTACCGACCGTAGATCTCCCGCTGCGCGAGAGGCTTGCACACCGGAAGATCATGAATATGACTCGATGACCGCATCCGGCTTGAAATAGAGATTGTCTCATGAACCGGGATGCTAATGGATATAGGAAAGCAATGACGAATTGTTACGTTTTACGAGGTTGTCTATTAGAAACGAATCTGTATATAGCATCTTTAATATTTTCGATGGTAGAAAAAGACGTTCTTGATGAAAGATATATCGTTTTAAAGGGGGTATATAGCGACAGCGGTAGGGGTGTCGGAGATATTCGACGATTAACTCTGGAGTGATCTTGCGTATTTAAATTAAAAACAATAACGTTTACATGAATCGATAAAGCTGAACAATGGCAACGGTATTCACTGCGAAGCTAATGACAATTTGCATTTGGTCGAACGATGGTCTGTAAATTATCAGTCAGTTTAAAATGAGTTTTTAATATATTCTTCATTACCAGTGAAATTTATTGCCTCAGCAATGCGTATTCACGTAAGGATTTCTTTGAAAATTTCTAGTGCTATTATATGAATAAAATACTGATTTCTTTCGTTACTTATAGGCACATCATGGTTAAATTTAAATGGATGTATAACAAAATTTTTGTGCAACGAATGATCTTGCTGACCATCATCGGGGTGATCTCATGCGGAATTTTGAAGGGCCACATGAACTATGAAAAAGAGGTTATTAGAAGTAGTAGTAGTTTATTAGTAAATGGACTTGGTTACATACAAAACACGTCGCCCTATCCTATCTTACTTCCTACTTTTCTTAAATACCTGTCGTTGCTTTTATTGACGTTCAAATTTATTACTTCCCTTTCGGTTCTTATCCTCTCCACTCTTTCTGACCATTCCATTATTTACACATTTTCGTTACCATCCACCATTTCCTACCTTATCTTCTTATTCCTTACTCTATTACACTCTTCCATTAAAGGTTTCAGTGTAACGTGTTTACAACCACACATTGCACTCTCTCTACCTCACCCAAGCGATACTCGCCAGCTTCTTCTTGCCTCGCTACCAATTTCTGTTCTCCATGGTAAGTAAATCACTTCGCCGTGCTTTTATTCGTTACCCTTTTAAAAGCCAGGAATAAAATGTTGCCCGCCTCGTGGAATAACAAATTTGCCAGCGTAATCGCGTAGCGGCATAAATCACCGTTCGATTTAATTGTTGGCAAACAGAGCCGTTCCATTGACTCACCAACACTTCGTATCAATAATCCATTGCGTCGACTCCGTTCATTAGGGAGCGCCATTGAACATGTAAAACGTTTCATATAAAAGGCCTCGGTTTAACGCGCGCGAAGGAGATTTATGGCGAGCGACGTACAATTAATTACCATTCTGTTGGATTACGCTTCTGCGACTTCCACGGGGCCCCGTTGCTCACGCCACGCGCGCAAAATGGTACTCTTTCGACGTTATAGTAACGCTGATGCGTGCTCACGTGTTAACCGGACGTGTAAATCATGCGATACTCCCTACACGATTTACGCTCAATTTTATTTTTACCCAGGAGGTACATTCTGGAGAACACGGTCTGAAAAACGAAGTGTTCCCTGTGGCTAAACGGAGAATTTGTTCCGTTACTTTTAAAAATTGGGGAGAAGAAGGTTTTAACTTCGTGAAAATTTGTATGTCGCTTTCCTGAGAAGTCCATCTGCTCAGTTATAAAATGGCATTCAAAGTCATTTGAAGATTGGGCCACGATGACATCTTTAGAACCGATAAAGAATATAGTTGCATTCACTTTAATGCGTTCTTTTACCATTTTTTCTATGATCAGTGAATATTGAAACTCTCAGTAGATTGAATAAACGTTTCCAATAAATCACAACGGGTATAGACTCGTGATTTTATTTGTCGCCTATTATTCGAACACGCTTCTGTCCATTTCTGACGCCAGCAGCGCACTTCAGTGAGCAATTTGGAGGAAGCATGACTTTGCGCTGCTACGTAAATCATTGAAGATGACTTCCTGTACGACAGAAGTCGATGTCGAACGTTTAGTGGCCGATGCGACTCGATCAATTCACACCGGTCGCGGAAGCGCGCGCAAGTGTCCACCACGGGGCCCCGATATCAATCTTATCGGCTCCACTGTCTCTCATTTTTCTCCCTCCGTTGGCCGAGTTCTCCCTCGGGGGGG